GAGCTCAATAGCTCACGATGAACTCCTAAGTTCATGAGAATGAGCTCAGTAGCTCACAATAACTCCTAAGTTCATAGGAATGAGCTTAGAAGCTCAGGATGAACCCTTAAGTTCATAAAAATGAGCTCAGTAGCTCTCGATGAACTCCTAAGTTCATCACAATGAGCTTGGCCACCTACGGTGGGGAGTTTAAGAAGAAAAACTCTTTCAGAAGAAGTTGCAGAACTATGAGGTCTACAAGTCCAACATCCTGGAAAATCTAGACAGTCCCCAAGTCCAGAATTGAACTCGGTAGCCTTATTCCCACTAAAGATAAAGCTGTGCTAGACACCCTCAAACCTTCAAGAATAAGATCGCTTTAAGCTCCATGCCTCTCAGTTCACCACAACCTAAGCTCGGCTGCATAAACCTACAGAATCGCCAAAGCCAACATGAAACGCAGGGAGCAGCTGGTGATGAGATTTACCACTTACTCTCATCCAATAAGCTCAAGTATGAAACTCTCAAAGCATTCTTGCTCCAGCACTGTTTGGCCAAAAGGGATTGGTTAAGTAGTCTAAAGTCCTTGAAGCCCATTCCTCCTTCTGCCTTAGAATCAATCATTCTATCCCATTTCTTCCGGCAAATGCCACCCTTGTTTTCGTTCCCTCACCACCAAAAATTCCTAACAAAGCTGTCCAACTTCTCACAGAAGTTCTTCGAAAAAGCCACCACTGACATAGCATAATTGGAGATAGCTTGAATGACTACTTTAACCAAGATTTCCTTACCTGTCTGTGAGAGGCAAGTGCATTTCCACCCTTGCAGTTTCTTCACAACTCTCTCAAGTAAATATCCAAACACCTCCTTTTTAGAACGTTCCCAGCCTATTGGGATTCCAAGATACTTCACACTATGAGAGAGAGGTTGCATTCCCAAGAGGTGGCAGAGAGAAGATCTTTGGTCTTCAATAGTGTTGTTGGAGAAGATGATTCTAGATTTTGCAAATTAGCACTTTGGCCCGACGCCACACAGTAGCTTTGCAGTACCCTTAGTAACTCCTCAGCTCTTCCATCTCTTGCCTTATGAAAAAGAGAGAATCATTAGCAAAGAATAGGTGGGAGATGGCTGGGCTTCTACTCTTAAGTTTTAGACCCATTAACCTTCTTTCCTCAACACCCTTCAACAATATAGATGAGAAAACATCTGCGACAAAAATGAAAAGGTACAGAGAGAGGTCTCCTTGTCTAATCCCCCTCTGTGGGCAAAACTTACAAATGTATTCCTTGTTCAAAATTAACTGTAAGGACGCTGAACTAACACATTGCATTATGAGTCCCACCCAACGTCTGTCAAAACCCATCTGTATCATTGTTGCTTCAAGAAAGTCTCATTCTACCCTATCATATGCCTTACTGATATCCATTTTAATTGCCAACTCAGGTACCCTGCCACTCTTCTTTCCTTTTAAATGGTGGAAGACTTCATTTGCGATGACTATGCTATCTTATATGAGCCTATTAGGGACGAAAGCAGTCTAATTCAGGGTGACAATAGAGCTAATCATGCCCTTCATCCTATTCGCCAACGCCTTCGAGACGATTTTATATAGAAAATTACAGAGGGTTATTGGTCTAAACTGGGAGATTGATTCTAGGGATGAATCTTTGGGAATAAGCACCACATTGGTAGTGTTGAGATCCTTAACCAGAATGCCATCTTCAAAGAAATCCTTAACCAACTGAAAAACATTATCCTTCACAACATGCCAGAATCTGTGATAGAAGATTCCTGAAAAAACATCAGGTACAGGGGCTTTAAGGGCTCCCAACTCCTTTGTTGCTTGTTGCACCTCATCCTCTGTAATTGATCCTTTGCTCCTTCATTTTCAAATTTCATTTTTTATGGGGTTGAAATGTTGGAAGAAGAATTGAAAAGAGAGAAAAGTAGAAAAGAAAACTTAGAAAATATAACCTTTTTTTTTTGTTAATAGATCTCACACCAAGAGATTAGCAATTGACCTAATAACCATCCGTTTCGCAGTTAGACATTACAAGTTTGAACTTTGCCATGTATGGACAAAAAAAAATTAGCCCATATTCTCTCTAGTACATTTTTTTTTAATTTACTTCTTGACATATCATCCACTATTAATGAATGAGGGACCCACTTGTATACAATAGGTCTCCACTTAAATGCATAATAGATAATGTGTAAAGAAAAGAATTGAAAATAAAATGTACTCAAAAAGAAAAAAACACTTACCCCCGCTAATAGGCCCCCACATATCACAGATTAGAGATGTTAATCGAGTCAAGTTTTACGAGTTTGAATCCGAGCATGTAAAACTCATTTTTCTAAACAAGTTTAAAAAATTGTTGAAGTTCAACTTATTTAAAAAATGAATCGAGTCCAAGTCCAAACTTGGGCTGAACTCAAGCTGAATTCGAGTAATTTGATTATTTTATATATATACGAAACGAGTTTTGCGAGCTCAGGTCAAACCTTTTAAGCTCGTTTTTCTAAACGAACGTAAAATATTATTCAAGTTCAACTCATTTAGAACATAAATTGAGCCCGAATTACTTTTCACGATTTAAAACCTTATCTCAAACCCCATATGCCCAACCCTCTCACCGTGCCCAAAGGTGAGGGCATGTTTGGCTAAGAGCATCTCCAATCCACTCGATAAAATATCATTCTTAACTATTTTGAAGAGTCAATCTCTAAAATTTCTCTCTATCCCACCAGTTATTTTACCAAATCCAATTTTCACTCGCTATAAGTGGTGACCCACTTTTGCTCGTTTTCTGCCCTTTTGTGCCAAAGTGGCTTCATCATCTTCATCACAAAGGTGGTCTTCATAGTCTTTCACCCAAGTATGGATCTCCCTTTTCTCTCTCTGCCTAAATCTGAGCCGAAACTCTAGTACTCACATCTGAGCCAAAACTCTAGTGCCCAAATGTGCACAACTCCTTCAGTGCTCTGGTTTGTGTCGGCCCTCTCTAAATCCAAGTTTGACCCTCTCTCCCCACCCCCAAATTCACTATCTCTTTCCTTCTCTTACTAGTTCGAATTCTAGAAGAACAACAAGAAGGGTTTTTGTTCTATTTTTTTCAATAAACAATGATGTATCAATATCATAATATATATTTGTGCTATCAAGAACAACTATTATAGCATGCTTTCAACCTCTTTAAAATTAAAGCTTAATTATGATGGTGATTCTTGATTATTGTAAATAAAATCTCAAGTGATTTAGATCAAAATTTAACCTCAAATTGATTATATGTTTTTTGTCATAGTTATGGTTTAAATTGAGGTATACGGCGATGAGAAAGGAAAGTCTTATTTATATATTTTCAAAAATATATCGTTGAAAAAAATATGATCGTTAAAAATATAAATGTTGCAAAATTCAAATTTTAAAATTTTGATGATACCATTATGGTTGGCACTTACGTGTTAAACTATGTGGTATTTTTAAATTATATTATTAAAAATTAGTTAAAATAATTAGTTAAAATAGAGCGTATGCTTAGAAGGAACTTATAAAAATAGTTAGCTAANGCATAATAGATAATGTGTAAAGAAAAGAATTGAAAATAAAATGTACTCAAAAAGAAAAAAACACTTACCCCCGCTAATAGGCCCCCACATATCACAGATTAGAGATGTTAATCGAGTCAAGTTTTACGAGTTTGAATCCGAGCATGTAAAACTCATTTTTCTAAACAAGTTTAAAAAATTGTTGAAGTTCAACTTATTTAAAAAATGAATCGAGTCCAAGTCCAAACTTGGGCTGAACTCAAGCTGAATTCGAGTAATTTGATTATTTTATATATATACGAAACGAGTTTTGCGAGCTCAGGTCAAACCTTTTAAGCTCGTTTTTCTAAACGAACGTAAAATATTATTCAAGTTCAACTCATTTAGAACATAAATTGAGCCCGAATTACTTTTCACGATTTAAAACCTTATCTCAAACCCCATATGCCCAACCCTCTCACCGTGCCCAAAGGTGAGGGCATGTTTGGCTAAGAGCATCTCCAATCCACTCGATAAAATATCATTCTTAACTATTTTGAAGAGTCAATCTCTAAAATTTCTCTCTATCCCACCAGTTATTTTACCAAATCCAATTTTCACTCGCTATAAGTGGTGACCCACTTTTGCTCGTTTTCTGCCCTTTTGTGCCAAAGTGGCTTCATCATCTTCATCACAAAGGTGGTCTTCATAGTCTTTCACCCAAGTATGGATCTCCCTTTTCTCTCTCTGCCTAAATCTGAGCCGAAACTCTAGTACTCACATCTGAGCCAAAACTCTAGTGCCCAAATGTGCACAACTCCTTCAGTGCTCTGGTTTGTGTCGGCCCTCTCTAAATCCAAGTTTGACCCTCTCTCCCCACCCCCAAATTCACTATCTCTTTCCTTCTCTTACTAGTTCGAATTCTAGAAGAACAACAAGAAGGGTTTTTGTTCTATTTTTTTCAATAAACAATGATGTATCAATATCATAATATATATTTGTGCTATCAAGAACAACTATTATAGCATGCTTTCAACCTCTTTAAAATTAAAGCTTAATTATGATGGTGATTCTTGATTATTGTAAATAAAATCTCAAGTGATTTAGATCAAAATTTAACCTCAAATTGATTATATGTTTTTTGTCATAGTTATGGTTTAAATTGAGGTATACGGCGATGAGAAAGGAAAGTCTTATTTATATATTTTCAAAAATATATCGTTGAAAAAAATATGATCGTTAAAAATATAAATGTTGCAAAATTCAAATTTTAAAATTTTGATGATACCATTATGGTTGGCACTTACGTGTTAAACTATGTGGTATTTTTAAATTATATTATTAAAAATTAGTTAAAATAATTAGTTAAAATAGAGCGTATGCTTAGAAGGAACTTATAAAAATAGTTAGCTAAAGTAAGATACGAAATATTTAAATATATTTTGTTTTTTTTTTTTTTTTTTTTTTGGGGAGAGCTGGTTGAAGTTATTCAAAGTGGGTATATTCCCCACCTGAGCTAACCAAGCGAGAGGTTGCGGGATAAAGCCCAATCTCTCTCCTTCCCACATAATTCCACTTCAATAGTCCACTTAACAATGGCAGCAACTGCGTGCAGCAGCAGAACCTGTCACGGCGTTTCTCCTATATTCTCCTCCTCGTCCTCCACCACATTCAAAGCTCAAGGACCCGTTTCTTTCCTTCCTTGCCCCAACTCCTTCAGACCCAATTTTCCTTCAAATCCTACTCTCAAATCCTCCAGGTCAGTTTTTTTAAGCTATTTCCATTTTGGGTTTCTTTCCTTTTCCCCTTCGATCTATATTTGAAAGCTTACATGTCCAATGAGTACATTTGTGTGTGTAACTTTTAGTTACTGTTTTACAGTTTGAAGATTTCACACAGCACAAAGAAATCATCCAAGCATGTGTTCCGGGTGCCTATAATTTTTTGTTTGGTGGAAGATGATTCTGAAGCATACCCAGAATCAGAACAGTCCTCTGTTCACCGTGGTTCGCCTAGGGTATATTGATGTTGTTGTTAATAAATTTCCTGAGTTGAATTTGTTTAATTCTGCCACTTTATACGATTGTTAATTTTGGTACTGTCAAATTTGAGCGTTTTATCTCTGTTATAGCATCTGTTGATATTTGTTGTGCTTATTTGCGGATCATCTGAGTTTAATTGCATTGCCGGTAATGGAAGATTTTGTTGATTAAATTATTCAGAATTCTAGTAATCTTTAAGCTTGGAGGTTTATTAGTGAATATTCTAATTGGCAAGCATCAATTTAAGAGGGGTTGGGTGGGGGGGATTGAGAGTGAGAAGTTGATACAAGTTAAGGGAGTTTAAATATATTGTGCAAGCAATAATGCCTGCACACTGGGTAAGCTAATTAGTGCCTAACACATTCGTAGGAGTTACATGGGGACTGGGGAGCATTAGAGCATATGGTCATAGTTTGCTCTTGAATCCAAGTGAGTTGCTTAAGTTTCTCGGTTGATGTAGTGAAGAATGATTAGTTTGTTGATTGTGAGACGTGATGGATTGGATACAGTCTGCATGCTATGACATTTCTACACCAAGTAAGCCAAGAAGTATTTTCTCCACATTAAGAAGTGTCACAACATTAGTACATGGCTATTTCTTGCATGACAGTGTAACTTGCGAATTGCATTATAGATGTAGCAAAGGGAAATTTGGTTTATTTGGTGTGGAGGTGTGGTGGCTTTCATACCAATTGTGAAGCCAATATGTAGACTAATAGGATGTATCTTGTCCAATGGCATTGGAACTCCCATCATATGACTGTTGATCGCCTGAGCATTCGGTTAAAACGGAGGAAGAGGTGGCATGGCCTGATAACCTACCTGTGCATGTTTCTGTTTTGAAGGTGAAATCTTTTCTGTAGCAGAAGTTGCACCACCTGTGGTTTGCCGAAACCAGCTTGAGGAGGAAGAGGAAAGGCTTGTGACCCAGCTCGTGGAGGATGGCAGGCTTGTGGTTGAGGTTTTGGAGGATTGGTTCGTCTTGGAGGATTGGTTCTTCATGGTGGAATGTTGATAGAACTTTGTGAGATGGAGCAGGGGTTGGCCGCCAGGGGAGGGAGGAGAGTGGGAGAGAGGGAGGAGTGCTTGGCAGTACAAGTGATACTTGATATCTTTAAAGTTCAGAGGTGGAGTGATATTGGACCCTACTTGAAGGGGTTTTTAATAATCCAGCTGTCAAATTATTTCTTTTGTTCTTAAGATTTTTATTAACTTTTCAGTTTGTGAATTAACCAAGTTTCTATATGATATTATGATTAGTGTCACTAAAGAGTTTGTTAAGTTTATTGGTTTTGTTAGTTGTTGGACGAACATACACTTTCTTGGATCTTATGTTTGTTTACTGTATGGCCACTTGCAGGACGCAGCTATCAACATAAAACTCCCAAGAAGAAGTTTGTTAGTACATTTTACCTGTAATGCGTGTGGTACAAGATGTCAAAAGCTCATAAATAGATTAGCCTATGAACAAGGGACTGTTTTTGTACAGGTATTTCCTTTTGTTTTGCTGTTATTGTGGAATTTCTGTTGTATGATTCTTGATGGTAACAGAGCTATTAAATTTCTTTTTTTTTTTTCAAGTTTCACCAAGAAAGTTTGGCCATAGTTGTCTATTTGTATCCAAGTTCATTGGTCCTTTGCTTGCTGTTTTAGATCATTTCCTTTACTTGCCTTTTCATTTCTTTTTCTTTTTTGTCTTCTAATGTACTTATGATGTCATCAGCTTCTCTCTGAAAATTAGTTCCACACACCCTCCTATCCATTAGTCACTATATCAGGTCCAAGAAGTATTAGCACTGCATGAAGGGATATAAAAATCTGTTTCATTTGTGACACCTTGTTTGGATGGAAACTGGCTACATAATATGGTTAAGGAAATTCTCAAGTAGCTGAGGTAACAATTGAACTGTGGAATTTTTTGAATCTGAGTTCAAAGCTGTTAATTGAATGTTGGGTATATCACCACCCAAGAAACTGAGGGCAGGACTTGGCACGAAGGTAAGATTTTTCTATTGTGACTTGGGTGTCATGGGTTTGAGTCACTAAAAGAACCTCTTTGCATGCCGGGGTAAGACTATCTATATCTTACATCCACAAACTTCCCAGTGGCAAGAGCCTTGTGCATTGGGATGCCTTTTTTATGTACACCACCCACATTGATGAAGTGGACGTGTAACCATGTCTACAAGCTTCAAGGGTTTGCTCTGAAGATCTGCTCGTGTAGCATGCCACACTGAATCTTTTTGTTTTAGGCTCTATATTGTTATTTTCTGCAGAGTAGTTTGTAAATTAGCCAATCCTGAATATCATTAAAATCTTTATTTCCATCCTCACCAATTGGCAATGTTTCTTATCAGTGTTCAGGATGTTTCCAGCATCACAAATTAGTTGACAATCTCGGACTTGTGGTTGAGTATGACTTCCGGGAGGAAATAGGGGTGGATTCAAATGCAGATCAAAATTGACACAAGATATTTCAGTTGTTTTGGTTTTTGTTCTTGAAAATATTGTTCTGTGATGGTAGTTGTTGTCCCAAAAAAATACATTTTGATTCAATTGCAGCAACACATGATGGGTAAAGAAATCAAAACTGACAAAAATTCTGCCGGTATCTTGGATCATCTTTTTTATTATACTTCTTTATGCCTACAAACATTTTAGTCGATCGCGTGCTATAAACATCTCTTCTAGCCTATGACTGCCAGCAGAACAACAACAGCCAATCCAGCATCCACCCACATTCTAGATCTTCCTCCCAGCTGCAGAAGTGATACTCCTTTGTTCTGTAATGAAAAAAAAGGTGTCATTAACTTTAGCAAATACTTACCCAAAAAAAAAAAAAAAAATTTAGCAAATCTAGGTACTTGATCCATCCACCGCAATTAGTTCAATTGGGACATGGAAAACAGAAAATAGCAGACAGATTACCAAATTTTGAGATGGTGATGGAGCTAGTGTTGTGTCGTCTGAATCCGTAGTTGTAGGTGGTGATGGAGGGCTTTGGACAGTTGGTGCTGGAGCTGGTGCATGATGATGCCTCCTGTGCTTGTGCTTGTGCTTCTTTTTCTTGTGTTTGCCAGGGGATGGTGCAGGTGATGGTACCAGTACCGGTGTTGGGGCTGGTGGCACTGTTGGGGGTGAGGGCACTGGTGCTGGTGGCACTGTCGGGGGTGGTGGCACTGGTGCTGGTACTGGTGCTTCCTTAGCAGGTGCTGGTGCAGGTGGTGGCTGTTGCACTGGAGTTGGGGAAATTTGTGGTGGTGTTGAAGCTGGTGGCAATGCCGGTGGTGAAGCAATTGGTGGTGACGATGGTGGCAATGCTGGTGGTGGCAATGCTGGTTGCTGTGATGGACTTGAAAGGGGCGGACTTTGCGGTGGTTGTGGTGGTGGGATTTGAGGGGGTGGTACGGTTGGGCTTGAAGATGGGGGAGTCTTAGGTGGGGGTGCGGACACAGGTGTAATTGTGGGAGGAGTTGCTGCCGCCGTTGGTGGTGGTGTTGCTACAGTTGGTGGTGGAGTTCCTGCAGTTGGTGGTGGTGTTGCTGCAGTTGGTGGTGGTGTTGTAGTCGGCATATTAGAAGGTGAAGCAGCAGGTGATTGTGCATTGGCAATGACTAGCAGAAGGCAGAGGCAAGCAAAAATGGCATCCCACAAAAATGAAGCCATTTGCAGAGGTAGGAACTGGATGGAAGTACTTGTGAATTGAAATTGTATATATATATAGACTAATCCGGGGGTCTAAAAGCAAAAAGGGTTTGGTGAAATGAAGGAGGAAACTTAGTTTTCAAAGGAATGCTACATCTCCTCTAATGATTTGTCCAAGTGATACCTATCAAAAGGAAAAGCTAGTTGGCTAAAAGGCATTTGAATCAGCTTCATAAGATGGCTGCCATTAAAGCCGCAGTATTCTGAACTTCATTTCTCTTTTGTACAAATTGAAATTGTTGTTTGGGGTGGGTTCAGGATGAGTAACTTGGAGGATTTGGAGGGAGCATTAATTTTCAATTACCCGATTTGGTTCTTGTTAGTCGAGGATGTTAGAAGGGAGGAATCAAGTATAGACCTAATTTTTGGCATTATGCGCTTATAGCGGGTATACAACCTCACGATTATACTTTTATCATTATAACGGTAAGATTATTTTATTATGACTTGGAGATCCTGGGTTTGAGTTGTAGAGACAGTCTTTCTGCTTGTAAGGGTAAAACTGTGTATATTTAACCTTCTTCAGGTCCTGCAATGGCGAGAGGTTTGTGCACATTGTACGCCTTTTTTACTTTTATCATTACATCATTGTATATGTCATCCTATTTTTTTTTTCTTCTAACTTATTGTGCAATGGTGAGTATAGATGATAAATGGAATGAAATTCTTGTATTGACAATAGTAATATGGTAACAAGCCCCACCTAACTCTATTGGACAACAATGTTGATCTTAACAGACGATCTGATTCTGACAAAATACCTAAACCTTGGTATACTGTCCAAATCCAATTTAAGAAAAAGCAATGCCAGAAATTGTATAAAACAATTCACTCTACTATAAACTAAACTATGATGTCTGTCTGCTGCCCAGTTGCTGGAATGCTCTATCAAATGCAATCAAACACACCCTGAATTTTCAAGATAATGGATCCGTTTGGAATTGATTTTTTAGATGCGAAACAAAGGTTTGAAAAGTTAAATGAAAAAATTAGAGTTAAAAAAGATCTTGAAATTATTCGGAGCTTTCTTTGGAAGCCCTCGGATAAATCTCATTTTTCAACTTTTCTTTCGTACTGACAAAAATTGATACAGAAACCAAAAAATTATTTTTTCCCAAAAAATTGATAGAGAAACCACTTAATAGGTCTGAGTCTAAACAGGCCACATTTATTTTCCTCTAAAACCCAAAAAAGCTAATATTTTCTATCGGTCCAAACAAGTCCAATGTCCAACAAAAATTAAATACCTTGTAAAACAAAAAAAGATTTTTTGGATGTGGGTACAATTTTATAGACTTAATTGAGCAAAAATNAGTAACTTGGAGGATTTGGAGGGAGCATTAATTTTCAATTACCCGATTTGGTTCTTGTTAGTCGAGGATGTTAGAAGGGAGGAATCAAGTATAGACCTAATTTTTGGCATTATGCGCTTATAGCGGGTATACAACCTCACGATTATACTTTTATCATTATAACGGTAAGATTATTTTATTATGACTTGGAGATCCTGGGTTTGAGTTGTAGAGACAGTCTTTCTGCTTGTAAGGGTAAAACTGTGTATATTTAACCTTCTTCAGGTCCTGCAATGGCGAGAGGTTTGTGCACATTGTACGCCTTTTTTACTTTTATCATTACATCATTGTATATGTCATCCTATTTTTTTTTTCTTCTAACTTATTGTGCAATGGTGAGTATAGATGATAAATGGAATGAAATTCTTGTATTGACAATAGTAATATGGTAACAAGCCCCACCTAACTCTATTGGACAACAATGTTGATCTTAACAGACGATCTGATTCTGACAAAATACCTAAACCTTGGTATACTGTCCAAATCCAATTTAAGAAAAAGCAATGCCAGAAATTGTATAAAACAATTCACTCTACTATAAACTAAACTATGATGTCTGTCTGCTGCCCAGTTGCTGGAATGCTCTATCAAATGCAATCAAACACACCCTGAATTTTCAAGATAATGGATCCGTTTGGAATTGATTTTTTAGATGCGAAACAAAGGTTTGAAAAGTTAAATGAAAAAATTAGAGTTAAAAAAGATCTTGAAATTATTCGGAGCTTTCTTTGGAAGCCCTCGGATAAATCTCATTTTTCAACTTTTCTTTCGTACTGACAAAAATTGATACAGAAACCAAAAAATTATTTTTTCCCAAAAAATTGATAGAGAAACCACTTAATAGGTCTGAGTCTAAACAGGCCACATTTATTTTCCTCTAAAACCCAAAAAAGCTAATATTTTCTATCGGTCCAAACAAGTCCAATGTCCAACAAAAATTAAATACCTTGTAAAACAAAAAAAGATTTTTTGGATGTGGGTACAATTTTATAGACTTAATTGAGCAAAAATATATGGATAAGTTATTTATTCTATTAAGTACAATTTTTATAAAACTTTTTGTGTTTAGGTACAAAATTCAAAATGAATTAAAATTATTTTTACCTATACATCATTCCCTAATTTATGCAGTCATCATTGACAATTATTTGAGGAAACAAATATGTAAAGATTAACAATAATAATGAGAGGTAAAATAGGAGTTTACAAAGAGCGAGAGAAAGCAAAAACAAATGTAATTCGTGCTAAAAGATGAAGATGAAAGAGTATGGGTCAAAGTATAAGTGAAATATATATATATATATATGTATGTCGTCTCATGCCACCAACCTTACTTCCACGTTATCTGACCAAAAGGAATAAAGTCTTTTACTATGATGATTGATCAAACCCTGAATATTCCCTAAAAAAAAAAAGATTCAATCAATATGTTTTGTTATATATTATATATTATTCATTGTTGGGATGTAAGAAAAAAATAACTTATTTGTTTTTTTTAATTAGTGTAACTGTTTTTTAATGTGCGTAACTATTTTTTTAATGAGTGTAACTGTTTTTTAATTGGTGTAACTGTTTTTTTAATGAGTGTAAGAATCACAGTCTCATGCAATTGTTAAGGCATGATAATGTAACGATGCCACAATACTAAATGGTGTAATTATTTAGTTTATGTAAATAACTGAATGACAAATTGAGTTGATGTTATAATTTTGTGTAACGGTTTGATTTATTAGAACACCTGAATAACTATTTGGTGTATTATATGACAATTAAAACTGATTAATGTAATTGTGTTATTATAATATAAATATAAATAAAGTAAGAGAAAATAAGGGGAGAGAGAGAAAAATTGTTAGAAAAATTATACTCTTATTTTGCCTCTCATTACTTGATTGTAACCAAAAAAAAAAATGGAAAAAATACAAAAGGGTTTCCATCCATATGCTGTTTATCGATGGCAATAGTGGCCTTTTTAAAAAATATGCACTTTATCCCAAATAAATTTTTGACTTGTACTTTTACTTAAATAAGTCTAAAAAATTTTACCGACTGCTAAATTTTCGAAGAAAAAATCTGAAAATACTGTTGAATGATAGATCAATAGCTACCTACGCATTGCAGGTTACATCTTTATTTATTGTAAAAGAAACATAGTAAAATTAAAAAAATCTAAACTGTCATGATTATTCAACTAATCCCCCTAAAACAAAATAAAATAATTTTAATTAAATTCGGATTCTCAAAAATAAAAATTGAAAAATAATATTCCAAATGCTGTTTGTGCCTAAAGATTTTGTTTGTCGGACAAGAAAATACATTCACTGAGCTAGCCAAAGCAACGTGCTTTGGCAAAAAGCCAATGGGTCCTGACTATGTAATTACCATCAACAACCAATGTTTTTTGTTCTTTCCTAATATACAAGAGTTATGGTTCTTTTAAGTAAACTACACAAATAGCCCGTAAACTATGATACTTGAGTTAATTAAGTTCTTAAACTTACAAATTTTAGAAATTAAGCTCTTGAACTGATTTTCGTGTTAAAATTTTAGCAATTTAGTTCTTCTGTCAGTAGCCGTTAGATTTTTGGACAGAATGTCTCATGCATTCACCACATGGACAACATATTAGGAGTATTTTTTTATTGTTCATTCAAAACTTATCAAACGAAACAGATTAACAAGCTCTTTTAAAGAGCTTACATTTATGTAATTTTAGAGTTTATGGGTTCAGTTGACATAAAAATTAGCTCAAAGACTTAATTGATATAAGAGTCATAGTTCAAGGGTCATTTGTATAATTTATATTATTATTATTATTATTTTATTGGCAACGATGCTTAAAATATGTCAGCTACTGTAGGAGACTCCTGGGCCCGGCTACAGCCAAATGGTTTTATTCACGTCTGTGGAAAAAAATTTCTGACTCGGACTCGTGACATACGGTTCGAAATGGAACTGTCTTATTGATGAACCGGACCCCACAGAGACTTGTGCCACAAAACGTGCTTGCAAACGCGCCAAAGCTCGTGCAAATATTAAGTTCTAAATGCTGTTAACATAAATCAAGTAGGTGGTCTAGTGGGGTATCGGTCTTACTCTTCACTTTAAGGTTAAGAGTTCGAATCTTAGAGTCTCCATTGAGACTTGGTGGTTGGCCGCAATGCTAACATAGCTAAATTTGGTCCCGAAAAAATGCTGTTAACATGGCATTTGTACCTTCTTTTTAATAGTTCCATTCTCTGTGAAGCCCACATTTGGTAATGGTCCGCATGGAAAATGGGAAGAATTTTTTGTGTTGGGGTGTTAAAATATGATATGATTCGTTAATTTGATACAAAATTATATAGTTTAAATTTTTTTTAAACTATTTATTTCGTAAACGAGTAGACCCATTAGAACACGATTAACAAATCGGGCATAGTAAAACTAATAAAAAAAAACACAGTACAACTAGTTATGTATCGGTTATATACAATTCATGTACAACACAATTTTTTTTTTTTTGATCATGTCAAAGGGGTAGAGGGACTACAAATAGGTAGTAATCTCTCTAGACGTGACATGAGGATCCCTCACTATGAAATGTCCGGTTTGAACCATAACTAAGGCAACTTGTTACCACATTACCACCAAAGCCAACCAACAAACCACATTGATATCTTGAGTCAAACCCTAATTGTTAATCACATGAAAGCCAAGGACAATCCTAAATGGGTATAACTTACCACTAGACCATCAGCTCGGGTAATAACACGAATATGATGTGACACAAATTAACAAACAAATTGGGTACAAGTGGAGTATTATTTTGACACGAATTCACTAAAACCCAACATGAACTCGTCTTATCCGACACGATTGTCAAATCTATTTGCGGTTATAGTACCGAAATGTAATTTTTTGTCACCATACTTCAACTTTTTTATGCAATAAAAACTTGATACGTGTATAATTTTTTTTTTCGATCAATGATTATAAATTATGAATCAGTAACATATCATTTCAGATGAATAATATAGTCACATAAATAATTGTGAAAATTGGGGGTGAGTATCTCTATATGTACTTGTTTGGAGATAAGTCCGGCAAGGAAATTTATAGGGAGTTAAATATTTAAAATTATATATACTGACCTAAGTTCACTTTTTTTTTTATCTCAAAAATACCCTTAATGGTGTTAACTTTGGTCATTTATGAAAAGACATAAGTTAAAGTTTGAGATATATATGGTA